TTATAAGCAAAATGAAGACTTAGATTACTTTGATACTTATTCTCCTGTGTCGAGAATAACTTCTATCTGGATGATAATTGCTATTGCGACCTTGCGAAATCTGGAAATACATCATATGGATGTAAAAAAGCTTTCCTAAATGGAGATTTGAATGAAGAAATCTACATGGAGCAACCAGACGGGTTTACAGCTCTAGGTCAAGAAAGGAAAGTTTGTAGACTGGTTAAATCGCTGTAAGGTTTGAAGCAAGCACCGAAGTAATGGCATGAGAAGTTTGATAGTGCTATGCTTTCTAATGGTTTTAGAATCAACAAGTGCGACAAGTGTGTATATGTCAAGGACACTAATGATGAATATGTCATACTATGTCTATACGTCGACGACATGCTCATTATCAGTAGCATTGACAAGATTATCAAAGCCACTAAGAATATGTTAAACTCGAAGTTTGAAATGAAAGATATGGGTCTCGCGGATGTTATTTTGGGAGTAAAAATTACTCGAACACCAAATGGACTTGTGTTATCTCAATCTCATTATATTGATAAGATACTAGACAAGTTCAACAAGTCAGATACCACTGTGACCAGGAGTCTAGTGGATTTGAGTCTCCATTTATCCAAGAACACTGATGATGGTGTATCACAGTTAGAATATTCTCAGATAATTGGAAGTTTAATGTATTTAATGACTTGTACAAGATCGGAAATAGCATACTCAGTTAGTAGATTGAATCGCTACACGAGTAACCCAGGTGCTGTCCACTGGAAAGCCATTTTTAGAGTGCTACATTATTTAAGGCACACTCGTGATTTTGGACTGCACTATTCTAGATACCCTGCAGTAAGCAAAGGGTATGCTGATGCAAATTGGATATCAGATATGTCGGATACCAAGTCTACTAATGGATATGTCTTCACTCTTGGTGGTGCAGCTATCTCTTAGAAATCCTCCAAACAAACTTGCATCGCAAGATCTTCAATGAAATTAGAGTTCATCGCTTTGGACAAAGCAACTGAAGAAGCAGAGTGGCTTCGCCAGTTTGTTGAGGATATTTCAAGATGGTCAAAACTTGTGCCTGTAATTTGTGTTTATTGCGATAATCAATCAACAACCGGCAGGGCACAGAGCAATATGTATAATGGTAAGTCTCGTCATATTCGGAGACGACATAATACCATTCGACAACTACTCTCACAAGGTATTATCACTCTGGACTACGTGAAGTCAAAGGATAATATTGCGGATCCGCTAACCAAAGGGCTAACTCGAGAGATAGTTGTAAAAGCGTCAAGGGGAATGGGCTTGCAGCCTATGACGTTGAAAGGTATCATGATGGAAACCCAACCTAGCTAAATGGAGATCCCAGGATCTAGGTTCAAAGGGACAACTAAAGCATGTATATCTGTGTAAATCACTGAGAATATTCTCCTCCAGCTCATTCCTATGGTGCTCACAGTGATTGGAAGATGCAGGTTAAGCTATGCTTTTAATGACCTTTAAGCGTTGTTGTGAAAAAATGAGTTAAGAGGTCACCTATGTAAATGTGAAGTGGGGCCGCTTCTATAAGGATTGACAAGGCTACGTCCTTGAAAAAATACTTGCAGAACTAGGCGACGTGTTCATAGCCAAAACGAACACAACAGTAAGAACTATGCTGTGACTAGAATGGTCCTATGTGAGATCTATTGTCTTGGTTTACACAAATGGTGAAACAGTTCAAGGCATCAGATCCACTGGTTTGCTAGTAATTCTCGATAGGTTTCACAAGGGAATGTTCAAAGCTAAATGTTACCTATCCTATACAAGATTGATTCGTTTTACTCTCTCTTTCCTCTTGAGTCTTAGTTTTCATTTTCATTCATGTGGGGGATTGTTAGAATTGAATGAAAAATATTGAATAGAAGTAATGAAAAATATTGAATAGAAGTCTCTTCATATGTTGTAACTCAAGTAACTCAAGTCCCTTCATTTTTTAACTCCTTTATCAATGAATGGTTTAACTCCTTGATTAATGAGCTAGCTTTTCTTCCATTAGTATAAATAGGAGTCTCTCTAGGTTGGAAAATTACAAGTGAAATACAAGCTTCTTCCTTTAAACAACAATCTTCTTTTTCTCACTTTCAAGTTCTTCCTTGTGCTTATAATTTCTTTGTGAGATAGAGTATATCACAGCTAGTTCGCAGACGGTTAACGTAGTGCAGCGTGAACTGACAACCGATTGTATCATGGGAATCGAACACCGATCAAAACCTCTTGCACTCGGTGAGACGGCGAATTCGATTTAAGGAAACTGTGAATACACAGGCCTTCGGTTTGATTTAATTTTCTAATATTTACCTACAATATTAACTCAAAACAAGATTCTAATTTTTTAACCAGTTTATGGATATAGATCACATTCAAACATTACTTGTTCAAATTTGTTATACAAACTAAAGAAATCAAACTCGCTCAATCTTCATATGCTTCTCTATTTCAACGCTGGAGTATAAATTATAAATAACTACTCAAATTTGAATAGAAACATATATTCAAACGAGTGCTCTTGAGAAGAAGACTGTCAAAATCTTTAGTTGTTCCCTCACAATGTTTTTCATCCAGAAATTGAAAAAAAAATCATCAGTAGAATGGATCACAACAATTCCTCGAGGTAGCATCACCACTCAAAATTAGTTTTCAACGGAGCCTTCTCTCTTGTCAGATATTTGTGTTGGAAAAAATGGGTTGACGGGCTAACTTTGGCACAAAATTTGAGCGGGATCCAGTTGGTTATTTTGGAAGTTCAAGATTGATTTGTGTTCTCCTCCGTGAGAATATCGAAATCATGTATTTACTTGCCAAAAATATTCGGGTGAACGAAAAATGGGAGCTCAAAGCATGTTGAAATGAGTTTACGTTGTTGGATAGAAACCATTTAAGGTTGTCCCGTATAGGAAAATTATGAAAGCAAATACCACCTTAAATAGGATTGCAATTTGAAATGTTGTGATCATGTGTAGCATAGAGGCTCTCTCTATGTGCGCGCACAGAAAGAGCAAATCAAACTGAAATAAGCTTCAGACGTGGAAATTAATCCCTTAGAAGAGCCTACGTTTTGCTAATTTTTTTCCTCCAACTGACCAAATAAATTCCAAAACAATCGAAACTCATATATTCATTGTCATTATATATATATATATATATATATATATATATATATATATATAGTCTTGGTCTTGTCCATATTTTTTGTCGTACTGTTCTAACACAAACTCTATTCGACAGAGTAGTATTTGAGGTACTCAAATTCTACTGCTCATCCATTGTATCTTGGGAGATAGACGTTCGAATCAAACCTCAAGTGCCTAGGTGAGGGGGTGAATCTATTTTAAGGATACTGTATTCACACAGGCATCGGTTAAAATTTTCTTTCTTTTGGCTAATTAGTTTACTTGTTCTGTTTTATTGGAATTTAATATGTTATATTTTGGTTAAGTAGATTAATTTGTTTAGTTTATTCTAATTTAATATTTTGGATAGTATCCAAGCTGCTGCATATACGGTAAGGTACATTTATGGCATGCGTAAATACGATATGGTTCATATACAGTATGCGTAAATATGATATGTTGATTATGCGATATGCGTAAATTCAGTATTTCCATCCAGTAGTTGTTCACTAATATTTACTCCGACAATTTGAGCAGGAGCATTCGAGTATGATCTAAACTATCCTTTGCCTCCATCCTCATCCTCCTGCAGAATCAAATCACTGGTTCATACCTTTCTGAGGATTTTCATTCCATTCAATGGTAAAAATTAGATCATTTTAGTTTATTTGCACCAATATACTTCATGTTATATCAAACAGATAAACTGTATAGTCAATTACTAACACCCATATATCTTATGTATATCAGATAGATAAATTGCATTGCTATATAGTAACATGTGTACGCCCATATGGTGCCGAAATATTGATCAGGTTAGTAAATAAATGACACGCAAAAAGTACTACACATTCACTTGGGCTCACAAACATGCAAACCCAGTATTCTTGAGCTTGAGCTCAATTCAAATACTATTCAAGAGGCTCCGGCACAAGCAGCTCCCACATAAGCTTGCCTCATTTGTACCCAATACAACTCCAACTAAAATCGTACAGGCGTAGTCGACAAATTAATGCATATGTTAAATGAGAGACACATAAAATCACAATCTTCAAACGAAAATTTTGCAATTGCAATAATCACGAAAATATTTTAATCCTCATCCAACTATAATTAAATGTAATGAGATTGAAAACTATTAGAAGAGAAATCATTAGGTCTTCTATTTAAATTTAAATCCTTGCATAAAGGTTGTTAGACTTCATAGTAAAACATTACGATAAACCTCACCTCTTGAGTAGAATGGAATAGCCAAGGTTTTTCATAATACAGAGAATTTTGGAAGCAAAATGTGCAAATGCTTCTACATTTAAATGCAAAATTGCATTTCCCTTATCATTGTGTCAAGCCACTCCATTATTGTAAATAGGTTGTGAAAGTTATTAAACTTGGGCTAGTCCAAGAGTTGGGAGAATCAATTTTATTGTGTTACATGTTAACCAGTCAAAAACTAGCTAACCCTGCTGAATTTTAAGAAAGTCAGTAACCTAGTTTTGTTAAACCAGAAGTTTTTGAATTACTCTAGATATGCAGCTGTTACACTTCCCCTCAAATTGAACTGTAGATATTAATCATATTCAACTTACAGTTGAGTTCATTGAAAATTTGTTGGGTAATCCTTTGGTGAAAATAACTACAGTTTGTTCCTTTGTATGGACACAAGACATGCAAATGGTTCCATCTTCCACTTTTTTCCATAATAAAGTGCATGTCTGCCTCTATGTGTTTGGTTCTGTCGTGTTGTACTGGATTGAGAGATATGTTGATAGCTGTTTTATTATCACAATAAAGTTTAATTGAATGTTCTATGTCAACCTTCAGTTTTTCTAAGAGTTTCTTTATCTATAATCATTCGCATATCTCTTGTGCAACTGCTCTAAATTCAACCTCAACACTGCTCTTTGCCACTACATTTGGTTTTTTGCTTCTCCAAGTTACTAAGTTTCTCCATACAAAGGTACAGTAGCCAATGGTAGATTTACTATCTTCAATTGATCCAACCCAATTTGCATTAGTGAATACTTTTACTTTCTTCCTTTTATTCTTTTCGAAGAATAAGCCTTTCCCTGTCGAACCTTTTAGATATATGAGGATTTTGTATATAGCCTCCAGGTGAGCCTCATTGAGAGAATGCATAAATTGGCTTACTATGCTGACTGCAAAGGCAATGTCAAGTCTAGTGTGTGAGAGATAAATTAGCTTACCAACTAATCTTTGATATCTGTCCATGTCCACTAAGTTTTTTGCATTCTTTATTTTTCCTGCCTCAATAGGTTTATCGCTTGGTTTGCACCCTAGCATACCAATTTCAGTCAAGATATCAAGAGTGTATTTTCGTCGTTTCTTTGATCTTAAGATCTCCATTCCTGAAAAATACCGCATTTGTCTCAGGTCTTTTATTTTAAATTCAATAGCTTAGCACTTCTTTAATCTTTCCATTTCCACAATGCTGTCTCCGGTCAGAATTATATCATCAACATATACAATTAAGATCACCCTTTTACTATCTCTAGATTGTTGGAAGAACATAGTATGATCAAACTGCCCTTGCTAGTATCTTTGAGTTTTCAATACCTTTGCAAATCCATCGAACCATGCTCTGGGTAATGTTGGAGGCCATATAGAGACTTCCTGAGTTTGCATACTTGATTTTTTTATTATTTTTGTTGAAGCCTGGTGGTACCGTCTTGTAAACTTATTTTCCAATTCTCTATTCAAGAATATGTTCTTGATGTCTAGTTGTTGAAGGAGCTAGTCAAGAATACTGCTAAGGATAGGAGAACTCGAACTGTATTTAGTTTTACCACTGGTGCAAATGTTTCTGTGTAGTCTATACCATATGTTTGTGTGTAACCTTTAGCAACTAGACGTGCCTTACAGCGTTAAATTTCCTCATTGGTCCTGTACTTCACATTGAAGACTCATTTGCATCCAACTGGTTTCTTTCCCTTTGGTAGGCTTACAATTTTCTAAGTGCCATTTTTCTTTAGAGCTCTTATTTCTTTTATCACTGCCTCTTTCCATTTTTGTGATTCCAGGCTTCCTAGATATTTCTTAGAATTTCTATTTTATCAAGATTAGCTATAAAAACACGAACTCCTGCAGATAAATTATTATAAGATGTAAATTTTGAAATAGAATGAAGGGTACATGATCGAGTTTGTTTTCTGAGAGCGATGGGTAGATCATTATCAGGAGATATGATTTTATAGAAGCACTCATCCTCATAAGGTCCTACGACTGGTTCTAACTCTTTTGGTACCTCAAGTGTGTGGGTTTCCTTATACTTTGATTTAGGCTTTTTTGAGTTAACTAGAATCTCCTTATCACTTTGTTTTCCGACATCTCTCCCTAAATTCAAGTTTTCTTCTGTGTATGGTGTAGTACAAAATAGGATGACATATTTTGTATATCTATTAACATCTAAGAATTCCTGATCCAAAAATCGATCTTTACCAAGATTTTTCCCTTGAAGAGAAGGTTTTTGGAAGTGAGGTGTTTTTTCGAAGAATGTAACATCGAGGTTAAGAAAGACCTTGTTGGTAGATAGGTCATAACATTTATAGCCTTTTTGAGTTGGTGAGTACCCAATAAAGACATACTTGATTGGATAGGGTTCAAGTTTCTTGTGAAGATAAGATTGTATTTTAAGGATAGATCTGAGTTAAGAAGAGAATTTGGAAATTGTTTTTGGAATCGTAGTATAGGCAAGTCAAATGAGAGGGTACGGCTATGCATACAGTTGATGAGGTATGTAGATGTCAAAACTGCATCTCCCCAAAAAGTTTTAGGCATGTTCGTAGTAAACACTAAGGCACGAGCAACTTCGAGTATATGTCTATTTTTTTATTCAGCAATCCATTTTGTTAGAGAATGTTGACACGTGAACTTTGATGGATTATTCCATGTTTCGTTAGATAGTCTTGCAAAGTGTTATTGAAGTATTTAGTCCCCTTGTCAGTTTGCAGAATTTGAAGTTGTGTTTGGAATTGAGTTTGGATCATAGAGTGAAAGTTTATATACATTGGTCAGACATTGATTTTTTCCTTTAATAAGTATACCCAACAAACCCAGGTATAGTCATCAATGAATGTGACGAACCATTTTGTGTGGGTATAATTAGGGATGCGAGAAGATCCCCATAAATCACTATGAATCATGGGAATGGTATAGATGGTTTGTATGTAGACTTGGGAAAAGATGTACGTTGATGTTTCACAAATTCGCAATTTTCACATTAAAGTTCAATTGAAGTCTTATTGAAAAAATTTAGAAAGAGTACACATTTCAATTATGGAAAACTAAGGTAACCCATTCTATAATGCCATAACAAAAGTTCACAATCACTAGAAACTGATGCAGAATTATAGCTATTAAGTTGATCTAGTCTACTCACGTCCGCTTCCTCGAAATAGTACAGTCCCCCACACTTTTTACCACTGTCAATCGTCTTCCCCGATGAAAGCTCCTAAAATACACAGTAAGATGGAAAGAAATTAGTAAAGCAATTGAAATTTTTTGTTAGTTGGCCAATAGATAGTAACTTATAGGACAAAGTTGGGACATAGGACAGAATGAAGTGTCATGGATTCAGAAATTTGAATACTCCCTTTTTTCAGCAACTGAAGAGAGTGAACATCTGCAATTTTTACTTTAACATCTCCAGCACAAGTTGTTTCAAACAATCGAATTAAATCTTTATGAAAATTGCTCAATGGATCACCACCTAAGGTTAGGGGAATATCTCTATCCCCTACGCAAATATAGAGTTTCTACTATTTGGTCTAAAACATACAATTTTTCTCTCGAACGATGTACACATCACTAAACATAATCACTCATTAGCAACATAAATGAAAATGCAAGAAATAACAATAGTAAAAACACGTGAAAATAAATAACTTAACATCAAAGAACAAATATTAAAATTAATTAAAGATAGGTCAACTTCAACCATAAATTTCTACAATATACTTGACCCATGTTATATAAATAATAAAAATGAGAATATTTCATACAAAACATTGCAAATATGAGACAACTATGAAGAAAATACAAGAATGATGACAAAATCCTTGTTGGATTTGAATTCTTGATGACTTGATCTTAATTTTTTCCAACTATTTTTTCCAAATGCGTTCCCCTTTGTGCTTTTAGTTTTGCCTCCAAATTTACAAGAAAAATTAGAGGAAGAAAAAGAGAAAAAGAAAGAAGAAAGAACAAGAACAAGAAAATGAAAATGAAAAACAAAGCGAAGTTGGAAGAAGATTGAATTCACATCCCAGCCGCTGGTTTAAATTATAAACCATAAGAAAATTGCAGCTAAGTCCTTGAAGTTTCAAAAGTTAGCAAAACGGTCCCCATTTCTTTTAAAATGGCAACTAGGCACCTCTCACCTAGGTGCCAACTCTCTGCCAACACTTTCCGGTTCTTTTTTTTTTTTTTTTTTTTAACACAATTTTTCTAGCAATTTGTGCTCAAGGTCCCTTAACTTTGATCTTGTTTAATTTGGTCTTGAATTTTTGATTTTTATATCAATCTTGCCCTCCGTCAATTGCAGTCCAAGGTCCTCAACTTTCAACACTTGTGCACCCCCAACTTCACTTTTTGGATGCTTTTGGTCAATTTTTACTCCATTTTGCCTTGTTCTCTTTCCATGGGTATTTTTGACCTACAAAAACAAATGTTACCTAATTATAAGGAAAACTTCATTCATTTAATCAATTATAAGTATATTTAAGTATTACATAAGTGTGCAAAAATACACTTATCAAATACCTCCAAACTTAAATTCTTGTTTATCCAGAACAAGATTATCTACAACATAATCAAGCAACACGTGATGATGACCAACACATTAGATAGCTTGCAAAATATTCATGAGTGAAAAATTGTATAATCATTTCACAAATATGCACCAAATAATGCTAGCAAAAATAATTCAAGCTTATCAAATATTCGATTGTTGTATATATGCAAAGTCACTTTCAATCATCATTTAAATTAGGAAAAGTTGTCAAAGCGGAAAAATTTTCAAATTTACTCCAACCCTACCTTTTGTGGTCAAATGTTTCCTTTTCCACTCATGAAATTCACCCTCCTCAAAGAGATATAATTTTCTTTTTTCAAGGTGTAAGTCTAAGGTTTCTCTTAATTACTCTTTTCTTTTTCTTTTTTTTTTTTTGTCATAAATCACTAGTAATCTAAACTCAAACATCAAATACAAATGCGCAATAACAATTTTTTCCCTTTTTCAATTGAAAATCATGTTCTACCTCACTCCCCTGAGCTTTCTTTTTTACCATAGTAGCGAATTTTAAGTCGATAACTCTTCGGTTGTTTAAGCCAAAGGATACCAAGTTTTGAAATATCCCAACAAGCTTAATAACTCGAATAAAAAAGGCATTCAACAAGTACAATATCATTCTTTGATGCACAATAAAACTCATGGGGCTTAAATCTTTAGTATATGGTCATGACCTAACTTGGTAAAAGACAATCCATACAAATATTTTCAACATGCATGAAATCAATGCACTTTTAGAAAATATCCTTCACATGTTCGATCACTCCAAACTTATCTCACAATATGTTTAAGTGAAAGAGGAGAGGATATAGGTTGATATAAATTATCAAGCAACTCACAACCTAGTTCTACCAATTCAAAACTTTTTCCATCAATCAAACTTTTCTACATCTAGATAATAATTAATCATGACCATTGTACTCGAAGTAATTCAATTTCTTACAATTGACAAGCAATTTTTGAAAAAATTAGGCACAAATAGCATATTTTGTCATGCATAGCTCATGAATTAATATCAATTTTAAATATCAAACAATTCTAATCCGACAATGCTATTTAACATGCCAACACAAAATCACCAATTTAAGCACAATCACACCCAAACTTAAATCACACATTATCCTCAATGTGTAAAGAACAAGATAACAGAGAAAGGGGGATGACGAAACTTCCCTGATTGTATATTTGTGGAGGGGTACAATGCTCTATTTAAACTTGTGATACTTTCAAGGAACTTGGGCAAGTGGCCTTCTTATACACCAATTTGCCCCCAACTTGTCTTGGAACCATGGATAAACGGGACTTCAAAAATTTCCTACAAAAACAATAAGGGCTAATCAAATAAAAACAAGAAAATGCATGAAAGTAAATAAAAAGATTAAAAGTTAAAAAAAAAAAAATTGGGTTATCTCCCAGTAAGCGCACATAAAGAAAACTTTGGATGCCTTACTCATTTTTCTTCTTTTGACTTTGCTCTACTTCTCATTTGATCTCCACCCCTCTACCTTGCCCTTTTCAACATGATAGGACTTGCCCATTCCATCTGACTCAACTTCAACTATGTAGACTTCTAACCTTACATCGAGCTTAACCACAAAATCAATTTTTGAGAAAATAAGAGGGTAAAATTTAGGAAAATAGGCATAAATAACCTTTCAAAATTGGAATGCCATTGCTCTTATTCTGTCTTTATCTAAAAGGAAAATTTTGTCAAATTAGAAATAATTTATTTTTAAAAAAGATGAGAATTTAAAAAAAAATTTAAAATTAAAGATTATCATACTCTTCCTCCACCTCACCCTAACCTAAACCCATGCACTAGCACCCCACTACTGTCCGCAATGCCGTTGTTGACCTCGGTACATACAAGGATGATGCCCAGTAGATTCAACTCCAATCGCGTTCACGTCACTTATCTATAGCACGCTTCGATAGAAGGTTTAACTTTAACCTTAATTGTTTCTAGAGGTAAATAACGTAATCTATTGAAAAATAACACTATATTAATCTTGATTGTTTTAAGAGATCAGATAATTATAAATATGCTCTTTTGTTTCTAGTTAAACTTTATTTGGATACACAGTTAATAAGAGTAATGTTGAAATATAATGGAATGAATATAGTACTTTTTAAAAATTTTAAAATTGTAAAAATGACAGATTTATAATGACACACACACACACACACACACACACACACACACACACATACATACATACATACATACATATATATATAAAGTTATTTCAAATGTTGACGCCCACCATTTATTTATCCATCAATGGATTTATATGATACGACCCCGATACTTAACATAAAATGAACATCAATGCTCATAAGATCATTCCTCTATATATAGTCTTCAAATAAATAAATATATAAGGATAATGATAAATATAATGTTAATGAACATAGTAATTTTTTAAAATTTTAATAAAACCAGATTTAAAATGAGATAGATATATAAGAATGGTAAACAAAAATAACAATTCCATTACTCATTATTGGTCAATTATATGTGTAGACATACATACAAGTAGAAAAGCATGAGAATTGCTCCTCAAAGCATAGCCCAGTGGTGCAAATGACAGAAATAAAGTTATCTCACGCCTTACTGACAACCGCAGTATGGAGGTTCGATTCCTGAAACATGGAATTGAACTCCTTGTAGGCGCAGTGTACAGACAGCTCTTGTTCCCTGACTTGTTAGAGCACATCTCGCGATTTACCTCTCTCACAAAACTCTAGGGGCGGGACAGTGGGATCCCTCAAGGTTGGAGTTCAACCTTTAGAAAAGCATGAGAATTGAGCGTGCTGCACATTTTTACTCTGTCAGCTTGTTTGCTCATTGCACATGTTCTGTTACACAGTGAAGATTTTGAATCAAATAAAAGGCAAAAGATTTCAGCGCTCCATTGTACGGTAAGCTAAAAATCTGAAACACATGGCAACTTGAAATGACTCCAGCCTCAAAACAAAAACACAAACACAAACGATCGTATTCGAAGTTCACAAACCATTATTCGTTCATACAACGCCCAGCAATCAACGATATTAACAGACAGTTACAGAACTTATGACAGCTCTATCGCACTTGATCCTAAATTAGACAACTAAAATCTGGTATGTACACTACGGGATCCCTGGGCTTATTTATGTGCACTATTTCTATCGCTACCAGTGTCTCCAGCAGGAACCTGTGCTTGCATTTCAGCCAGTTCTCTTACTCGTAACAGAATTGGAGCAGGAATGGGAATTGAAGCATGCTTACGGGAACTCTGCATCTGCAGTCAAAGCGATAAACACCATTTAACGGAAACCAAAATAAGGATGTACCAAAGAAGCGAAAATAAGAATTTGAGGCATGGCAGAAGGAAATTATTCAGCAAAGCAAGAAAATGTAAATTTGAAATTATAAAGTACAAAAAACTAAAATTAGAATTTTTTATTTTTTTCAGTATGCGGATGAAAAAGAGTTCTAGTAATTATATCTTTAGAAATTTAATGAGGAATTTTACTGTTGCAGTACTGAAAAAGTGTTCTAGTAATTATATCTTTAGAAATCTAACTAGGAATTTTACTGTTGCAGTACAGAACGTGCTTTCGAAAATAATAATAATCTCTTTCTCGCTGTTGCAATTTAAAATTCAAAAATAGAAATCTGCAGTTCAACGAGGACCCCATCAAAGGTATATACATGGCAACTATGACACATACAACCACTTCAAGGGAACATGATCAGAAATCAACACTACTAGCCCTGTCTAAAATCCGAAATGTACTGCCGCTACCAAAATTAGTCCAGTCCATCAGGCTTAACAGACAGGGAATATGTCAACCTAGGGGTGCTAGTGAGCTCGACCCAAAGCACGAGCTGGCTCGTGCTCACTTTGAGGCACGTCTAGCCTGCGAGCCAGCCGGACCAGCAAGTGGCTCACCCCATTAGACATCCCTACGTCAACCAAACATGAAAAGCACATTAAACACCAGGTAAAACATAGCTCCACCAATCATTTTCACGCAACGATGATCAATGCCTACCTATTGGACGATTTACATGTATGGTGCTACATGACAGTCAGTTCACCGTAGAGTTTGTTCATGACTAAAAACTTCAAGCCTCCCTCCAGTTATTATGAAAGAATAAGGAAAAGAATATATGGCGTTCATGTATATTAGCAGCATATTCATACTTTAAATTTGTAGATATCTTCTTTCCAGATCAACTTTAAGACGAGCATTTTGAGTGCAGAAGAGTTGCAACTGAGAGTCTAATGTGACTGCAAAAGGAACAATTTGCTCACCCCCTTTTCAGCTGGCAACTGTGCAAAACTAGCTCTCAGCAGATTCCTCCACTTGTCCTGCAAAAGAATAATATGTTCTCAAATCTTAATAGAAAATTACAAAGTTCAATTGCATACCTAAACTTTCAGTGGAGATAAACTTCTTTTGACTTGATTAATTATAAAATACTTAATTATATACCTTGAGCTCAACTGAAGTTCGATAAGAATATGATGCGAAGGCAAGGCGTTTTATCTCTGACCATCTACCAGCACCATATTTGGCCACCCCTTCAACTAGCTTGACAACCTCGCTTAGAGTCCAAGGTCGATGATGTTTCCTCCTCAATCTTCCATTTGCTGCAGGCATAGTTACCACGTCATCATCTGAATACTCATACGAATTCAAGTTTTTCAGCTCCTTCTCCAGCTCAACTTTCCTTTCACTGTACAGCTTATCGGATGAAGTAACAGGCTAGGCACATAAAAGCTTCCATCAGCAATGGAGAACGTGCCATCATTACTTTTGAACTATGTCATTAAAAATTTGAAATGAAGATGCTGCCATAATACCCTCACAATCATATTAAAAGAACTAGACCTTTTTGAGAAGAAAGCTTTCTACAAGATAAATTTTATGATAATTCAACATGAAACTCAACATACTGCATATTTCTTTAGTTTAGAAAACTAGGAGCTACAATTAATGTAATAAGGATTAAATATGTGTTAACTACTGTCAGGTATAACTACTACCTTCAATATCTATGGAAATGCTTAGGTAGTAAAACATAACAAAATAGCATTCATCTAGAGTCTAGAACCACCCTAGGCCTGCCAGGACTCGTTTCAGTTGCAATCACAGATAAGGTTGAAATAGGTTCAGTTAATCTATCTTCTTCAGACAGTGAACATCGAGATTTGACGTAACAAGTATTGCTAAAATGTAAATTTGGAGAATGGAACAAGTGTATCTCAGATGATCTTGAATCCATCTGGGAAACAAGTCAGATTTGAAATTTTTTTTCCCAATTACATCATCTGAACAACAGCCTTCTTTACCAGTCTGGTTGGCATGCCCATGCTACTTGGCTAAAGCTTCTACATATTATATGTTTATATCTAAATGACAGGTACTACAATATAACAAGCTTCCATTGCCAGTATCATATCCTCTTGTTCCATAAAGAGTATTTCGAAATATAGTAATCCCTTACAGCCTTACATTAGTTACATTTTGGCTTAACAACAGACTATTCTTCAATGCTAAATAGAATTTGATCCTAATGAAGACAGGAAATGTCTTCATTATTCAACAGATTCCAAATTGAGACTTAAAGGAAGAAGCAGCAGCCAAAACGAATTCGGCCCTTAGCAGAAAACGGGAAGAACTCACTCAACTTGCTCCATCAACAACAGGAATAGATGTGAACACAGAGAGATGAACTACCAATAATCATTATGACTGGTCAGCAAAAGTGGTTCAACTAATAGTATTAATTGACTTTAGAAAACTAGGTGTATTTGTTCTTTGCTCAAATGAATGCAGTTCGAAGTATTTAAATAGACTACAGAAAATGATCGTGAACATCCAGATTATCAAACCCAAACTCATATCTCTAAGAAGGTATTCTTTCACGTTACCATGAGGGTCATAAAGTTTTCCCTCGGACGGCTCCGCCGTATCCGAGAAACATATGGAACCTGAACTCCAGAACCTCCAAGCGAGTCTCGCCTTACAAGCCATCTTCCATCTAATCCAACTTTTTGACCAGGTGTTGCATGCATGTTCGTGGATGGCTGACTATACGCACGGTGTCCAACTGAGGAGATAAACTTTGAACAAGAATCCCTAGATTCCCCTTCTGAAAGTTCTTCAATATATCGTCTGGTAGGCTTTCGGGCTCTTTTTGTTGCTCGTTGTTCTGTGTTAGTATTTTCACTTCCATAATTATCCACCACCAGGTAATTCTGTGATTCCATGCCGGTAGCATTTGAGTGGTTTTCCTTTCGTATATCATGGAAAGTTGGTGAATTTTCACAGTTCTCGCTCGTAGATCCAACTTCGGGATCCATTGAAATATTATGTTCCACATTATTACAGATTTCTTCTTTACCTTTCTTTACCACTCCATTGTCTTTGATCACCAAAGTTGTGGTTGAGAAATCACATGAATTGGTCAAACCCATTAATATCCTCCTCTTGAGCCATTGCTTATCCTTGACAGAAGTTTCCCTTCCAAAAGTTGCTTTGAAAGTCTCCTGAAGTTCTTTTACTGTAAGATTATCCAGATGTATCTCACCTTTCAACGTAGAAAAATCAGGCTTTGAACTAGTAACAACAGCAGAAGTGGAGGTTCCATTCTCGATCATTCCAGTGGAAGGTTTTGAGTATCCCTCAAGTTGGAAACTACTGCCATAATCTGCAGCTGGAGCGAACAGAGCAATGCTTTGCTGCAGTACATTCAAAGCAGATTCTCATCAGTGAAAATGGTGGAGCCAACTTCCAATTCATTGAAAGACAGGATCTCTTATATGAAGCAAAGGTTTAATGGGAGAGGAGTGAGGAAAAAATCTGAATTGTAGTATTTTTAGAATGTCCCATAAAAGACCAAATAAAATACCTCAGGTTGAACATCTACTTCCTCAAAATCAGCTTCAGGGTCGGGTGGCACATTCAACATTTCCGTATCAAGTTCTACATTATCAAGTGGTAAACCTGTCATACAAATAAGTCTACAAATGCAGAATGGAAAAAACAAAAGGAAGGAAGGGAAAGGAACCAATTAAGAAGAGGTTCATAACCAAAATATCAAATGAAGAAGGATTTTTGCTCTTTTGAACATAGAAAGCATTGAAACATAAAAAATTTCAAAGGATATAAATCTGAAAATAAAGGGGGAAAAAAAGCAAAAAGAAGCCAGGACATTTCACAACAAGGTAGCATGGTAAACATAAGTATACGACTCCAACTAGAATCAAGAGTAAATGACCTGCAGGGTCCTTAAAAGTGATTATAATCAAAGAACATGCATCATTTGTGCTACAATCAATGGTAAACACAACATAAATAAAAATAAAAACAATATTCTAGTAGTGACCTTCTGATGCTTTGATCTGAAGTTCATCCAGATCATGTTCGCAATTTGTATTGCATTCCACAGTTCCTCCAGAGTTTGAAACAAATCTATTTTCGCTCTTGTCATCTTCGAGCAAGTCTTCTACTGCCATAACTTCATCCTCAGTCGCAGGCACTAATCTCCCATTTCCATCAACCTAAATAGTAGGTGACAATCACAACTAATATTTGCTTAGAAGACAATAAACAGTCAAATTTTCACCCCTCAAAAGGCACTGAAGAAGAGAGATCATGTTACCTCTCACTATCCACGACAATTCATCCTGATTTTTGCTCACAGGGGTTTCTAACTTAAAGAGCTCTATTTGCATCTAGTGATATAGATCAATTCAACTATTAAATTAGGTTTCTTCTACACTTCAATTAGTATGTGATTATTAAATGTAGACAGTAGAATCTGATTATTATCATTCTCTCACAACCTCTATGATAGTTAAAATACTTTCCATCTACTTTCTCACAGGCAATAGACAAAAATACGAGATGAAGAGTTGCTTGATCAACACAAAAGCATACTTAGCAACCAAAAGAAAAACACAAGTCAACCTTCCACATTACAATCAATTTTTCATCCTTTTTGAAAGCAAGGTCAGGTAGAAGAAAGAAGAAATGGAAAAGAAAACTTGCACAACCATCTAACATATGCAATATTACAGATAATAATTAATATCCGTGTCTTATTTATTAGGATAATTCGGTAAATAAGTCTTTCTTGAAAAATAATCAATACACCACTGGTGATCATGTACCGATGTTGGAAACCATCTGACCATATATAGAAGAGTCAGGTGCTCCTACCTCGTGCATATGTTCACAAGCACCTAGCAGTTCACTCAGCAAAACTTTCAAGGATAATTTAAGAAGTTTAACAACTTAGAAGCATGTACAGCAACGATCACACACATAAAAGGTCAGGCATCAAAGGATTCCAAAGAAACATCCGAAGCCTTAAGAGTTGCAGCATAAAATTAAATTACTACATTAACATTCAATCAAAGAATCATAATTCAGTTCACCACCAAAAAGTATTAAGATATCTTACAAAAAATGTGGATTATAAATGTCAATTATAATCTGAATTTACGCATAGTGGTATACCCGAACAAGCTGGTATACAACAGGATCGGCAATCTTTCGCAGGGAAGTTGGAGTGGGCTTATTTAATGCGGCTACACTATCTTTAACTTTAGCTTCCTCATTTCCCACAATATCAACTACTGTTTCCATTGAAAAATCCAGCACATGCAACTCATGAACACTAACTGAAAACCAAAAACAGGAAGAACAAGCCACAAATTTGTCTCCAACAACGTTAATTTTTTACGTTCAAAACCCCCCACACGAAATTCCATTCAAAGCATGCATTAAAAAATTCAATAAACAAAATCAATCACTTCCAATCGTGACTGATTGCCAAAATACGATTAAACAGTAATTTACCTCATCAAAGCAGATATCCAAAATTCTGAATTTCAAGACTCGAGCAACTGAGACCGTGAATTGGAATATCCCGGTGCCAACGTGAAATCAAGATTTTGAAATGTGGAAAATACTAAATTTGGACAGTTTAATTGATAGAAAGACGCGATTGGAAAAATTAAAGGAAATTAAAATTTTGGATTGCGTAAATTTTGAATTTAATTTTGCATTTGGGAATTTTGTATTTTTTAAATTTCAGAAATAGTGCGTGTTCTGTTTGCTTTACCTACACGCTGGGTGTAGTGTGTAAATGGTCACGGAATCGAAATATCAAATCAACTTAATTTGAGATAAGAGGGGCAGAATCCGGATATGCCCGTGGTTGCTTTGTTTGCTCTACTTAATTGAAGTGGCTATGGATGCTGTGACGGTTGAGCAAGTTATGGGCCGTGGCAAGTGAGGTCCATGTCTCAAGCCCAAAAATTTAAAGGCCTAAAATTAATTTTTTTTAGGGGAAAATTACATAATTCCAAGTACTTAAAGATTGGAGTTCAAATATCAAGGTGAAAGTATCATTATTCATAAATCAGGTTTGATATAAAAATTTCAAACCCCAATTCAATTACAAATACAAACCCTAATTTTATTTTTCTCTCACATCTCTCAACTGTCGATTTGTCTCTCACGTAGCTCATCATCGACGACCACCGCAACCTTGACGCTCGATGAAGACGATGATGCAGCTGCAACACTCCGTGAGTGACGATGTCGCCGTCGTGGCCGATGACGAGTGTTTGCTCTCTCTGTCTCTCCTCATCGGAGACCACCGCGTCGCCGCGTGACGATGACGCCTTTGTAACCGTGAGCAACGATGTTGCCAACGTGGCCGACGACGAGGACGAGTGCCATTGCAACTGGATCTGACCCATTTTGTTTTTTTTGCTTGTGTGACTGCTTTTGTTGTGCAATTGTGTGGATCTGAAGACTATAGTGCCTTGAACACATTGACAGCAACGAAGATGGTGGTGGATTGGACGATTTTTTGAGTGGCGGTGGACCTGGTGGTGAATTGGTGATGGCGATTTTCGTGGTGGCGGCTGTGGTGGTAAATTTGGCGGTTTGGGTGTGGTTTGGACGATATTTTGTGTGGTGGTGGTGATGGTGTTTTTGTGGTAGCGGCTGTGGTGGTTGTGATGTTGGTTGGCGGAGGTAACCATCGTGACTTGGTGGTGGTGGTTGTGGTCGGGATAGTATATGTGACCAAGGTTGTGGTGGATCAGAATTGGTGTATGTAGTCTGTGACCAGCTATTTTTGTCCACCTGTGACGAACTAGTAATCTGTGACATTGAAATTCGATCATTTTGTGACTAAAAAAGTTATCTATGACCGTCAAAATTGAAAATATGTGACCTGTGACCATAATTTTTAGATTCGTGATCTATCAAAATTTTGATTTGTGACCTCAAAAAAATTTGTGACCAATTAATTTGGTGATATGTGATTGGTAAATAAATTTGTGAACCTGTGACCATTAATAGTAAAACTGTGGCTTTATTATCATTATTTAATAATTATTTTTAATTAATCAGTGAAAACCTATTTTTGCATGAATGAAGTTTGTAACCTGAATTTTGAATTATGCATAGTTAATGCCTGATTTGTGAACTCTTCCCGTTTTTTAGTACCACATTCCTACCCACATGTCTTCCTTAATTCCTTTGTGCCGATGTGTGCAACTGTGTGAGAGCCGAGAAGAACTAGAGAAAGGTGAAACCCACGTTACCCACCCGTACCTTGACGGCTTGGCGACCCCGTCTTCTGTCTTTTTACTTCTCTCTCAGCTGTTCGCCACCATCGTGCCAGTGTGCCATGCCACTATCTGCCTATCGGTACAAAATCTGATTTCTATGTATTCATAGAAATCAGATTTTATAATATAGGGATAAAACTTGAACATCAATCTATTACATATTAATAACAATTCTTCACTTTTAAGATTAAGATTAGTAGAAAGACAAAAACAAACCTGACTCATTGGAGGTTTACTGATGCACATCTCAATTGTATGATTGCTTTGAGACAAACCCAACTCATTTGAGATTAAGATTACTTTGAGGTTTACCATTTACAGATGCACAAGTCAATTGTAAGAATTTTAGGAATTTTGAATATTGGAGTGGTACAAGTTAAAGACATAATTTACAGGTGCCAAATCGAAAACATGTCACAAACTTAAGTATACACAAAGAACCAAAAAATAGTTAATTATAAGCAATTAGGTGGTAATTTAAATGGTTGCTATTAAATTTATTTTTACATATAATTTAAATTTATCTTCAACAATTAATTGGTGATTGTGATTGTGGTTAAATATTGATTTCAGGATTGGGATTTGTGATTGTGGAATTCTCAAAGTGCCGCATCATGTCATTTTATAATTTTTCATCTAGTCATATTTCTGAGGTGAGCAATGGTTTGTCCTTGCTTATTTATAAACATATAGAAAATGTTTGAAGCCTTGTTGGGTCATATGATTAAGGCCTTGTTGGCTTATATATTTGCATTGTAGTATTGCACCATTGTTGGGCTGTATTGAATTTTGTTAGATTTAATCGTATAATCAATTTCACCGGCGCAGAGTCATATATCATGGTGCCTCCTATATATGAGCATGGAGTTCAAAAAAGAAAAATTTTGGATTTGCTTGTAATGGTATTTTATTAAAGAATGTGTGGTTGAAAAGATAAGAGAGAAAAAATTTATTTTGAAAATAATGGGGATTAGACAGGTTATAATACTTTTTTTTTTTTTTTTTAAACAGTTAAGTATTTAGTTAACAAGTTAATAGTTGGTACCATAATACAAATATATTTTTGCATGCATAATGCATTTTTTTTTTTTTTGGGGACTAATTTATGAAGTTCCCCTCAAGCCCTCAAAATTGTAGAACTGGCACTGGTGACGCTACATATACATAATAATTTATATATACATGATGTTGTGAAATATGAGTGAATTAAAAAAAAATTAATCAAATAAAACAATAAACAAAGCAATTACGCTCTTTTTGACTCCTCATTTTTATATAAATCATAATATAATTCAATTATGTACAAGTAGCATTAATCTTTGGGTAACGATTGTACAACATGTATATAATGGCTTACACGAAATTGATCTCATAAACATCAATACTTAGCTTATGTTAACACTAGTTGAAGTGGCCTACTATAATAAGTGGTGTAATCGGCCAAGCTAAATTTTTTATAATAATTCTTTTTTCTTCTTTTTTTTTTTAACATCAACCAAAAAAAATTGTCCATGTAAGTAAAAATTGTTAATCCTATATAATATAATAAGAAGATAATAGATTTTGACAAACATCGATTAAATTTGCTACAATCCTTTCACAATAATATGCATTAAGATTATTCGCTGCGGACCACAAACAAAATATTGGGTCACAATCAATCTGACGAGACCAATGATGGGCTACTTCATTCCCATCAACGTAAAGCAATCAACAAACTCTAGAGCCAACATTAACAAGTAAAGTACTGTCCTTAAGGGTAACCATCACCATCAAACTATTAACAATTTTGCTACGAGTACAAACACCCTTTTACAATGACAACCTAACACCTCTGGTGCCAAACCAGTAACAATCAGATTGATCCCATATTACAAAAAACATTTTTTATCGAGATAGGACGATAGCGAGCGGTAATATTCACTTCCACCGTCGAAAAATCTCAAGTGATCTGTTCTCCTCCTCCGGTCGTTGTGAAACCATTGCTAAGTTTGTTCTTCGACAATATCTTCGAACCCCAGTACATATAAAAGTAAGCAAAAAACCAATAATTCTTGCTTTCATATTCTTAAGATTCTGTTAGCGAGGTAACAATGTTGTGATACCCTTATATATATTTTCTAGGAAGGGTGAATGTTTTTAGAATGTTGCTGACTAAATCAGTAATGCCATAGTTGATCTCTAGCTAATGTAACCATGCTTGACTTGGATCACAGCCACTTTAACTATCTTAGTTAGGCTTTATAGCATGTTAAGTTTGGCATAAAAATGTAGCCAAAATTAGTTTTGAATCCATCTGTCGAAGTGCAATGATGTTGGATTTGCTGCCTTCGAATTTCAAATTGTAAGAGTCCTATAATGGGGAGAATGTAGACTTTACATGATCATAGCATTAATGAAAAATTATCCTATTAGTGAGAAATTTGGGTTCTTTTCAAGATTTCTAGGCTTTCAAGGCACATTATCAAAAGAATTTGCCTCTAGATGATAAAGCCAGTGGAAATAAAGTGATTTGAATTTATTTTTTTATGTGGTATGTAGATCGTAGGTTGAATTAGACAACATTGAACACAATTGTGCAATTCAAGTTTTTTATTCGAAAATCACCAACACAATCTTCACGTCTCTTTTTTACATTAAAGGAGTATGCATATTATATCTATTGAAAAAATTTAATTTCGTTTGAGCTCCAACCAACCCCCTTATATATTAGAATAAACATTATGCTCACTTATATGAATTTCGTCTGAGTAGTGGCTCTAATTTTAAAGGTGAAATATTGACAATTGAGTTATGTGGTTGTGTTCAATCTCAACATGCGATGAAGGAATTTTTGAGTGTGTCACAACTGTGGAAGCATGTCGCACTACTTTGAGAAATGTCTGAGAAAACATCGCTGCCCGTGGTGTGTAACTAGGGCATCAAGATTTCATTGAACGTAACATTCCGTAATGGAAAATGGTATTGCGAAGGGAATTCGAAATGAAAGAGGCTGGTATAATTATTTCCGTTAAGTCTATAAGACTTATAGTATTGCACTCTGTACTTGCATTGTTCAAGTTTATCGTGATTAGTTTGTTACTATGTTGTTCAGTATTTTGTATTGAGAATGACGTGAACCGAGTAAATAAATGTTTGAAGTTTATATACTGCAATGGTGTTGTATGAAATCATGATTCATTTCAAGTTTATATGTTTTGTTATGGCGTACAAGGGTGAAAGATTAATGAAAGAACTTGTATCCCATACTGCCTATGCCAATCGATTAAACATCAAGGATTACTGTCAACTTGGCAAATTAAATCTCATGGAATTTAATCTGAACATGAACATTGAATTTTTATAACTTCCTCCTTCCATCACTCTATATCAGACAACATCAGGCATTTGAGCATGAGAAGAAGCAATTTATACTAAAACAGTCTCACGACAACAAGCATAAGTAAAAAAGACCGACAAGGAATTTCACTACCTTAGGACTATTATAGTTACGGTCGCCGTTCACCGGGGCTTCAGTCGCCGGCTCCCCTAATTCTTTAGCATCCATGGTGAATAGGAATAGTATGCATAACAATTTTAGCAGTACCTAAAAAAATCACCTCCATTCCACACGATTATATGCATGTGCCATCATTTTGCGGTAAATGTGGATGGTAGTATTGCAATGATTGACCTAATGTAGAGGATGGGGGATCAAATTAATATCCGGTGAGTTCTAGAGGTGGCTTCTATCGAAAAGCAAAGTAAATAACAATTCAAAAAGGTGAAATTATATAAAATCAATATACTAACCAACAATAGGTATGAATACGAAAACGGCATCGATTGTGAATATTGTCTTTGTTGAAACGGTTGAATGTTGGGTGAAGCCTCATCCATATTACTGTCCTTTGATTTCGATCTCTTTCCTTGGTTTGAATTTGAAGTTGCCTACATGACATTGAGATGAATTAGATTTTGGTTCCGGACTCTATTAGAATGGAGAAGGTAAGAGGCCAAAACACACCTTTGATTTCTTTGAAGTCGAAACCAATGGGCTTTTCTTCTGAAGTTTCCTTGGCTTGCCTTTTCAACGATTTAGGATCTCTTGTGCTCATACTGGCACTATTAAACAAACCAGTACACCGAGATCCTTACCAAATGTTATGCTGTGACACTACATTACTTCTACTACTCGACTTGTTCTACTTCAAATCTTTAGCCTTGTATTTTATTCAATCCATTATAGCATGTGTTTGCCCTTCATCATCTACGGCAAGGTTCGTCACTTCTGCAAAAGCCTGGCACTACTGCCATGGAGTACTAACCAAACCTTCATAGTTTACTGCTATCCTCATGTGTACTCTACTTACATCTCTCCATCATCTACATATTATATATTTCTCTGGAAGTAATGTGACATCAATTGGGGATCAAAACTGTGACCGCACACCTTCAAATTATGCCCCGAAACTCAAACAAGTGGCAACTGTAAGTAATCTCACATCCATCTCTCCGAAATGAGGCAGAAAATATTTTTTTCTTCCGATGCTCATGATACACGACATCCTCTAACACCTTGTATGTGGTCCTAAAACATCCCTTAGAAATAGATATGATGTTGCAATAAACCTTTTCTGTGAACTCATCTTAAGCTAGCCTGAATTTAGAGATTGCTAGCCTGAATTTAGAGATTGTGAAAACTGATTGAAATAACTTCTCGGTCTCATAATTTGTAGCACACGGTAACATTTGCGTGAATGATTTTGGAATCAGCTTGAAATTCTTTCTCAACCTCTCTTTCATATTATTCCCCAAACTACTTAAATAAGGTTTCAGAATGCATACCCATCGAAGAACGCATGCCTATTCTCACTTCACTGTATTGTTGACACCATCGCACAAAAATTGGTCTTCAAAAAGCAAGGCACCCAAAGATCTCTATTCTCGTCTAGTCTCGACCAGTAATCATTGTCATGCAATTCATACTCGTTGATCATCAACCACCATCTTTCTACAAATTCTTAAAGAAAATGAGAATCATTTACTTGTTTGTGTATAATAGAAAATATTGATGTCTTATCAACACGATAACCAAACTTCTCTGTCAACTTTTTCAAAATGTACTACAAACACAATCTATGCGTCGTATTTGAAAAACGATCTGAATTGCATTTTTGCACTACCCCGTTTTGATCAGTATTTCTTCCATGCGGGGGTAGACCATTCATACACTGAAACCATGTCCTGAGAAGCCACACATAAGTATATGTGTCCTCATTTGATAGTAAACCACATCCAAGCAGTATTGATTGTCCATGATGATTCATTACAACAAAGGGGGCGAAAGGCATGTCGTACTTATTAGTAAAGTAAGTGGTGTTGAATGTGACGACATTATCGAACTATCTGTATGCTTGCGTAAACCGATTATCTGTCCAAAATACGTTCTTTAGCAAGCATTGTGCTTACATCTTTGAAAAGTATTATTGTATTGCAGCGGCATCTCAATCTCCAAATCGTAATCATCTAACTCTTTTGACAGGTCTCGACAATCCTTTTCAAGGCATGTCATTTTCTCATATCCCCATGCTTCCACAACTGCAGAGTTGTAACTTTTGTACAATGAAATTCTTGTAATATCATTCACCTCAAGCTTACGTTTCACATTTGCAATCAATTCTCCATTGCATTGATACAACCTAGATTTTGAATGACTTGTTTTATGACTATGCTCAAGGTGGACCATGTTAATTCATCCAACTACCTGAATATCTAAAGATGTAGAGATCATTGCTTTACAATTTGTCTAACTTGTTGGTTGTGGATTCAAAGAACCGCTTGTACTCTAGCTTCTTTAATGTCACATATCTGAGAACTTCATCGTTACCCTTTTTCGAATTTCTTTTCCTAACTAGAAAACTAACGTCATAAGAATATCTTTTACTCATCTCAGATGTTTATTTTTCATCCTTAAAGATCATACCTACCTCAAGACAATTACACCGTTCCCTCCTAACGTTTCATTTTCGACGACGTTAACATTTTCTCAACGTTCTCCACACTAGACAACCAAAAATTCATTTTGCATGTCATGCTTTTTTCAACAGGGACAACCAAAGAAATGATAACGTTCAGGAAGACATAAACCAATTCCAATAAAATAGATAATAAAAAATTGAAAATTTACATCAGCGAATTTGGCAATCTTACTAAATAGAAAGCATTTGGATTTTTTTGTTGCATTACGAAAATCGAGGTATCTGAACCATACATTACGTCAGATATTTTACAAAAATTTTGCTATGAATACAAAAAATTGTGCATATATCAAGCTTTTGTTAAAAAACGAATATGGTCAACTGGATATGCAAAGGGCCTAACGATAACATAATTAGTATAAGGTAATTAGTACAAAACATCATTATCTTTCACTGTTATTGTATAAAATGTCATTCCTTTTATTTTTTGCATTTTCACCTTTTTATTGGGAAAAAAGTCATTTCCATCCAATTTCTCAATTTAAAAAATGTAAAATGATAAATATACCCTCATATTTAAATTAAAAAAAAAAAGAATTGAAAAATTCAAGAACAAATTGTAATTATACTCCCAAACTTTTTTAAAAACTGTAAATGTGCCCAAATAAATTATTAAAACGGTGATTAACACAAAACGTCCACATCTTTCAATATTATTGTGTAAAACGTTTCTATCTTTCATTTTTTTTATATGTTCACCCTTATTTTCACATTACATTACGAAAATCATCATTTTCATCTATTTTCTCAATTAAAAGCTATAAGATGATGAATATACCCTCATATTTAAATAAAACAAAAAATAAATAAATAACTGATACTATGCTCCCAAAATTTTCGAAAAAGTACAAAAAAACTCCAAATAATAATTAAAAAATAAAGTTATTTTTTTATTTTTTGTTTTTAATTATTTATTTGAAAATTATTTGTACTTTGTTTGGAAATTTTGAGAGTAGTTGCAATTTGTTCGTTAATTTTGTTTTATTTAAATAGGAGGGTATATTCGTCATTTTACAGTTTTAATTGAAAAAATGAATAAAAATGATGATTTTCACAATAAAATGTGAAAAGAATGGTGAGAATGCCAAAAAATAAAAGATAGAAACGTTTTGCAAATATTATTGAAAGATATGAACGTTTTGCAGAAATTACCCTTTTAATAATTTATTTGGACCCATTTACAATTTTTTTAAAAGTTTTGGAGTATAATTACAATTTGTCTTTAATTTTTCTTTTCTTTTTTGTTTAAATAAGAGGGTTTATTCACAATTTTTTATTAAGAAATTGGATGAAAATGACTTTTTGCACAATAAAATGTGAAAATATGGGTAATAATGTCAAAAAATAAAAGGTATAAACATTTTTCACAATAACATTGAAAGGTAAGAACGTTTTATACTAATTACCCTTAATATAAATAAGTTTGTCGAACATTTATGCACTTTTTTCATTGCACCCTAAAATAAATTAATTCTCCAATTTTTAACTCCCCTACCGTTAATAGAGCTAATTAAGACCAATCCGTGTGTTCAAATGTCAAATGTTCAAAGTTTTGGGATTTCTGTGAAAAATTTATCTTTGAACAGCCGTTGCATTTTTCTGCTTCTTGACATTTCTGATATTTTATACAAATTTCTATATTTTCCATCACTTCTTAGATATAATTTCTCAACAGTAACACGTTCTTCAGAGCAAAAAAAGAAATAAAACTAAAATCAAAACTGAACAGATTTCTACAGTAACTAACCTTCACGCGAGAATTAGCTGTCGAAATGTCCTCGCCAATTGAGTTACTATCTTCCGGAAGACGTGAGATTTCTAGTTTGCGGGTGTGGGATTTTATTGAAAAATGGGGAGCTCGAGGGAGACAGAGGTGAATGGTGGAAAAAATTGTGTTTGCCAACCAGAAATACATCGGCTATAGACTTCACATGTGCCAGGCTTCTCTCCAGTTGTGAAGCTCAACTGTGGTAAATGGTGGGAACAAATTGGGTTTTCCATCGATTTCCTTTCATTCCATTATTTTATCCGTTTCTTTCTTTTGTATGCTTCTTCAAAATGCCACATCATCAAATTTTAAAATCTTGTAAAAGGTCTGTGAAAGGGTTCATGTACTCATAGCAAAATTGTAACACCCTAAAATCTGTTTCATATTTTTTGTTCAAAAATAGACTTGAGGTGTTATCAAAAAATCAATCTTCTATATCTAATTTAAGCGAAAATTCTTTTATTTTTTTTTTTTGAAATTTGATCGATAATACGATAATGATAAATTAACAATTTAAGCAAAAAATTTCAAACTAAATAAAATTTTGAAATACTACGATGTCAACCCATAAATTTAAATTTAACATAGAACGTCAAATGTTCGAATACAAAAAAAAAAACTATTAAATAACGTGCATAAAATTTAACATAAGGATTTTTTCAAATGTAAATCTGCAATTATCATTTCTAGAAATTTTTACTTGGTGACCCTATAAGCATCACTCAATTAATCTTCCATGCGTCCACACGATCCGTTTTAATCTGAAAATTATTGTAAGAGTGAGTATTTTGAAGCACTCAACAAAAATGCGTATTCTTATTTAACTTGATATAAATATAAAATGATATAAAATTCCGACGTTTCTTAAATTTAAAGCAAACTGATCATGATATCCAAAAGCTCAAAGCATTTCTACAACTTATAGGATTTACATCTTCGATCTAATGGTTCATCCCGTAAGATTTAACATACTCGACCTAACAGACCATTCCGTAGATTTGACCTAACGATTTATCTTGTAGGATTTAATATAGAATTGTCCCAAATGCCTTAGAGTATTTCATGCCAAGTATATAAAAAATGTCAAGAAAATAAGAATTTACCACTTGCATAACGTGTTCTTACCTCAATGACACCAAAATAAAATCTGAAAATATGGCTTGTAGAGTAGTAAAACAAATTGTTTCTAATAGATTGTGTGTGTAAATTTATAAGGAGTGAACTTTTTTCGGGAAAATACATTCTAATTATATCACCTACAGGTATAACTGATGAGTGCAATTTGTGCACTTATTTAGACTATTTTATTAAACTTTTATGTCGTCAATTTATTAATTTTTATTTGACTCAAGTTAATTTTCTTTGTATTTTTAGTGATGGACTCGTTCGGAGCAAATAAAAAGGATGAAGAATAAATTGGCTATTGGATGCAATATTGAGGATCAAACTCAACACTTGTAAAATTGAAGAGGACGTTGATTGCACAATTGAGGAACTCAAGGACTACATTGCATTAACTTAAAAGTTTGATGATTTGGAAAAAATAAATTATCGGCTTGTTTGGGAGGGATTTTTTACTCAAAAAAATTGATTTTTTGACCGTTATTTCACTACTTCAGCTGTAATTTTTGATTTTTTCTCTCACAGGTGGACCCCACTTTTCTTCTAACGGTCAAAAAATTAATTCTCAAAATCCCTCCCAAACGGGGCCTATTAATAGGACCTCAATTTGGAATTAATTAAATTGGGCTTTGGAGTCAAAAGAAAAGAAAGAGGTGAGATATGGAAAAGAAGTGGGCTGCCGGCAAGAAGAAAAGGATTGGAATTGTATTGGAAGTCAATAATTGTTGCCACTTTGGAATTCAAATCATACATAATAAAAGTGGGCTGCTTTGGCTTTTGGGTGGGGGGGGATAAAAAAATAAATAAATATATACACACACAATTCACCCACGCCAACTCGAGGGAGAATTCGGTAGCAAGGAGAGACTAACCTATAGAGAAAACAGAAACCGAGAGCCAACTGGGAAAAGAGGAAAGGACTGCCGGGTGAGAAATTGGAGAAGAATTGGCGTTTGTTTGGGAGTCCAACATTGTGGCTGTAGGAAATAAAAAAGATGTGGCTGAATCAGATTTTATATACATATAAATTGGTGGCCCACAGAAAGAATTTAGAGAAGAAGTGGGCTAATTCTTATATATATACACACACGCATCAATAAACAGCAATTGGGCAGGATGAGAGTTTTGATTGGAATTACTTACATACACGCCAAGCGGGAATTAGACACACACATACAAGTGGACGGGTGCCTAGGAATAATCAACATACACGTGCACAAGTCGAGCAAATTTGTGGAAAATTTAATAATGTTCCATCAATTTTTTTGGGTGATCTCTTTCCACCGTATGTGTTTAATTTCAACATCATGTTAGGCTAATGTTTCTCATGCATTGGATGAAAATGAAACCCGTTATTATTTATTTTTAATTCAAGACACGTGGTTTAGTTAAATTCTTGCAATTGTTGAGTAATCCTGCATGCTTAATTTTATTATTGGATTGTTTGATCACCAATTAAATATATGGTTGCTTGTTGTAGTGCTGTGAGGTTCACAATAAGTTTAGAACACCGCATGATTAACATACGTACAATAAATTTTAGGAATAAAATTTATTACGTGTGCAATCTTTGAGAAAATTGTGAAATTAAATGCTTTCTATTCATATGAATTCAGACTAGGAATAAGATCAGGTCGCAAATATGATAGATTTAATTTGCCTTGGAAAGGAAAATTAATTATAATAGAATTATCGACTGTCAAGAATGCAAGAACAAAACTAGCTACGTGGTCAAGAATTGAAATAAATAATAATAGGTGGATTTGTAATCCAATACACTCTTCCCATATAAATATTAAATTCGCATTTTACACGTTTTGGTAGATTAAATTAGAATAATCAAAAATCACTTTTATTTGTTCGCTTTAAATCTAATTAAGGACTAGTATACTCAATTAAATTTTATTTCTCGTGGGACGATACTCTCAATTCGTTAAATCTATTACTTGTGAATGATTCTGTACGCGTGCGGGTTTCACACGAACAAGTTTTTGGCACTGTTGTTGGGGAATAATTTATTTAATATGATTTTATTAATTATTTTTAGGTTTGAAGTTTTTATTCCTTTTTCATTTTTTCTTTACATTATTTGTTTTAAGCTATTCATTGAACGATTTAAGTCTCTCGTTTTACTCTTTTCAGGAAATCACGGTTTATGCAAAATTCTGATGAGATCGAGCTTCTTTCAATAGATCCCGAAATTGAAAGAACTTTCAGACAATGAAGAAGAGAACAGAGACAAGCGAGAGAAATGCCAGAAAATCAACATCCGAATCAAGTTCAAAATCCTTTACCATTACCTCAACCAGATCAACCAAGGGCAGTAGCAAATCAAGGAGAAGTTTTAGTGAGGGATTATGTATATCCCATGCCAGCCCCTGTGCAACCGGCTATTATCTATCCATCTTTTGGGTAGGCCAACTTCCATATTAGACATGATGTCATCAATTTATGCCAGAATCATCAAAATATCAGGTTCTCAGGGAAATCAATCCAAAATCCTCATGAACATATTCGAGCTTTCTTAATGCTCTGTGATATGATCAGCCAAGAAGAAATATCTATGGAT